GTTTACTGCATGAATTCTTCTACATATATTTGCTAAGTATTGTTGTATGCCTAATAGCAGAGTAAAGTTGATGGACGACTCAGTCAGAACCTCAGGTCACTGTCATTTGGAAATTCAAGTCCTCCATCACCAGCATCATATGCCCAAAATGGTCTTGGAAACTATAGTAATGAATCTTTTGGTCTGCCAAACAGTCCATATAGATCTCATTCAGCTATACTCGCAGATGATATTGTTTCACTTTCAGCTGGACGTGAACACATATCCCTCGATGTTCCTAGGTACAAGATGACTAGTTTGCCTGTTCCTGGTCATGGTTCAAGCAGAGGTTCTCTGCTGTTGGGTGGCTCATATAATGGAAATCATGACATGATCTCAACCAATACCCTACAAAACATGGCTGGAATTCAGACAGGACCAGCTTGGCTTGAAAGTGATGCTGCGGGTAGTGCTCTTGAATTACAATATACTTTTTATGATATGCTAGTAAATGTGCGTGGCATGCATATTTCCTTATGGTTTGAACTTGTTTGTGATGACAGCAAGCGCTTATTTGGAATCAAAGGATGAAGTTCATGATTTTGCAAGCCTGCGACATGCAGTTCTTGAACAGGTAGATAAACCACTGTGAGATACTGAACTATTCAAACATTTCAAGCAAAAATATTGTATGTTCTGTTTTTAGTATCACTGCTCTGTAACTGTAAGTGAATGCAATCATCCTATGTCAATAGGAGCAGGCATTTTAAATTTTGCAGATAATTTAGGCTGGTAGTTGATCCACATTCTGTTTAACATTAACTTTTAATTGCTTTGATATCACAAATTCTCACTCTCAGTTCAATTATGATCAGCCCCTTTTCTGTTATGGGCCGTTTGAATCCTTTCATTTTGGGGGAATTGGAATCTACTTAATAGACAAGGCTATTTGGCTTGGAATTTGACATTCCACAACTTTCTACTTTCCAAAGTTCACATATAAGCTTATCTCAAATTCATAGGGTGGGAGATGGAAATTGATTCTATAGATGTTTCTACTTTGCAACTTATAACACGCTCTTCAACTCGCTCCCCTCCGGTACAAATGCAACGCATAAGTATCTCTCGTATGGCCCACAATAATATATAAATATATTCCATATACAACCATATTAGCTTAATTAATCTGTGTCTAAATTATGATTATTAAAATGAACTCAATTCCAAGGATCCAATAGAAAATGGTTCTACTGCTGAAAACAGTGATATTTGTTGCGACATAGTAACATTATGAATTACAGGAGAACTAGAGTTGACTAATGGTTCGTGGTAAATAGAACAGATCAACTGACAGTGTTGCTCATCTTTTATCATTACAATTGTGATCAACTTCGATTGTATGTTAGACAATGTAAACATACTTGGCATTGTGATCTGTAGCTACAGTTTTGGACTGATTTGGTATGTATATCTGATTTTTTTAGACAGCATCCCTTATTTGCCATCGGAAGATAACTTGTGCCTTATTTGTAGCTAAAAGTTTTTGGTTATTGGCCATCCACTCTAGCTTTCATTCCTTATCTGCTACGTCCATTAATTTCTCAGTTAATTGCTGTTAAGTGGTACTGGAATAGACACTTTTGCCACTTCCCTGTGTACATCATGTAGTAAAATTTGTCCTGGTTTCCTTCCTTACCACTGATAATGTAAATATATGGCTATTTTGGACTTTGTATGATGCCATGCACAGAAGCTAAAATGTGGTCTCTCACATCATTTTTAATGAAGTGCATACATCAGTACAAGCAATGTTCGGTGCAAAAATAGATAGCTTCACAAGTATAGGTATCAAAGCATTTGTCCAGACCAAGCATACTTCTGAATAAGTAAATGGTATTTGTTCCGTGCAGTTAAGAAAATGACTTTTTCATGCTCAAACAACTCAGTCTGAATAATTGTTCATCTCCAACATGTTATATTCTCAACCAAGAATGCATTTTCGACCAAGCTATTATTATAAAACAAGAAACTGACTGGAGCCCAAACTATTCTCAAAGAAGGAAATTTACTAGGCCTTTCAGATCCAAGGGGGAGAGAGAGAGAAAGAGGGAATCCGGGTCTCACCTGCACCGGCGGCATGGAGAGGGTCCTCGGTATGGACCAGATGCGGCTGCGGACGGGGCCAGCTTGGAGGGGAGCTGCCGGCATCGGCTGCGGACAGCGTCGGCCTGAACTAGATCTGCGATCCAGGTCTCACCTGCACCGGCGGCATGGAGGGGGTCCTCGGTATGGAACAGATGCGATATGCGGATGGCGCCAGCTTGGTGGGGAGCTGTCGGCATCGGCTGCGAGTGTCGGCCTGGACTAGATCTGCGACATCCTGAGGAGGAGCTCCGTCACTTGGGGAGGGGCGTGGGTGGTGAGAATTGGCTGGGGACGAGCGGTGTGGCCAGCGCAGACAGGCTGGGGATGGGCGGCATGGTCAGTGCAGACTGGCTGGGGACAGGGCAACGGGCGGTGTGAGATTATGATGGCAGTGCAGGTTGCCGTCTTGTGGATGGGTAGTCCCATGGGGGCATTCTGGTCAAATCATACAGACACTCAAATTTGTATGGTCTCAAAGGGGACACATTTTGACGTAAACTGACAGAAAGCAACAGAAGTGGCATATAAGGAATAGAAGTTAAACTGGATGACGGATAAGGAACCAAAAATTATCCAGTGGCAAGTAGAGCACCAAGTCATCTTCCGATGTCGGATAAGGAGTTTTCTCTTTTTTTATGGTGATGGAAGAATAATTCTCAGATACCACCTAGCTTAGTATATTATTAATTCAGTGATTTTGATTATAGTTTTTCACAATCTATAGCATGCTTCTAAAAGTATGTCCTCAGTTATGAGCATTCTTTATCCAATCATTTAGAACTGTTTTCTATATGCCGAAAATTTTAGCAGGATAGACAGGCTTTTCTGATGGGCAACAACCCTTTAACAAAGGATCTAACATTGAAGGAGCTATACAGTATACAAACCAGGTTGGTTCAGGAGAAGGCTAGAGAAACAACATATCGACAAAGGTCAGATATAAATTTTCCTTGATGCCATATACTTCCTCCGTTCCAAATTATAAGTCGCTTTGACTTTTTTGGTACATCCATTTTGCTATGTATCTAGACATATATTATATCTAGATGCATAGCAAAATAGATGTATCAAAAAAGTCAAAACGACTTATAATTTGGAACGGAGGGAGTATATGATAAATATATGGTATGGCTTCCAATTAGGTGCTATTTCTGCTTGGAAGTTGGAACACTAACTATGGCTTTATAATGCTTTTTTCTTTGGGTGTCCAAATACTGAATTGGATTTAATTGGTGGTAAATGAGCATGTAACTCAGTCCCAGTAGCCAGTGATCGATAGTTTGATACAAAGATTTTGTAGTAAAGATGATGGTTGTCATATATAGTTTTCATATTCAGCATAATTTGCAAGAATGTGTGGATGGTATTGCAGCTTTCATGTTAGGAGGTTGTTAGCACACTGGCCAAGCCAGACGTGTCTATTGAATTGTGACTTTCTTGTAGACCATAGTGATCAGCAGTTGTCATGTTCTATGAGGGTCCAACCGTGGTAACTGCTACTTCCCCTCATCACAAATATAAGTTCGTTAGGAACATGGACACAGTCTCTAATACGACACTTTGACTTGCAATATATTAATAAAAATACATTATCTTAAATGAAAAAGCTATTTGTTATAAAAGTTCTTTAAATATGGATGTCGTAATGCTAATACATATACAAAGACTTTTTTTTTTGACTTAGGACAACCTATGTTGACTTAAAATTTGTGATGGGAGGAAGGCCGAAGGCCCTGCAACATGATTTCATTTATCCACATGAGATGTTAGTACTGCACGAAAGCTAATACATTCTGTTCCCAACAGATTCCAAATGCCAGAGTTGCAAGGCCTCATCCAGGAGCAAAATCCCCCAATCGATCTCTGTGGTCTTCACGTCAGCGAGGCGATACACGTCCTGAACTACGAGCTCAACAACCGAAGAAAGATCGTGAGATCCACTGGTCGCAGACTCCAGGCTATGATAATATCAAGCGCCTGCACCCCAGCAAGGCTGACTGCCACCGTCGAGCAGTACCTCATGGAACATGGCCTTCAGTACACTCAGGTGCAACCAGGCCTCTTCCGCGTCCTGCTCTAGCGATGGAACCAGCCTAGCTGTTGTTCGCAACTGGATCAGATGAAAAGAGAAAAAAAGTTGACTTGTACTTTTGTATATGGCAGAGATGGCTAGCAGGATAGAAGCGTTAAGATAGCTCATGTAACATTCATATATCAGGCTTTTTGTCAGCAAATGTGTACATGTTAGCATTTGCGGAGTTAGGGAATATTCGCGTTCAGTCTTTGGTGCTGGTGGATGCATAAGGGGATAGCATCTTCACAATCATATTCTCGTTCATAATCTTTGGTGCTGGTGGATGCATATCTTCGCTGCTGGCGGATTCAAATTGTGCGTAATGCCTGGTGGATGCATAAGTTATTCACAACCTTTGCTGCTGGTTGATTCAAATTGTGCACAACCTTTGCTGCTGGTGGATTCAAATTGTGCGTAATGCCGTTATGCTTGCTCCCAATCTCAAATTCTCAAGTATGGAGGTGGAGCTAAATATTATGGGCTGTATTTACAGGAAAATGACTTTCGGAGGATTGGATGGTTGAGGTATCAGACAAACACCGTTATATAACGGTTAGAAGTATTGGCGACATGAACTACCAATCGCTCAGCCATGCAAATATAGTTAGCAACGCAAAACCAAAACGTACCAAATTCAATCAACCACAGAAAGAGATGAAACGAGTACATCGAGGGGGGCTTGTTTTCAGTGTTAGACATGAAATGGTACACTCAGTTCCTTTGATGACTATGAAACTAAATGAGAGTGCCGAAGCACAATGGCACGGCCCAGTGTGTGGAGCGCTGACATGAACATATGACCTCAGTCCCGTTCACTAATTGCCGTCAGGTGCTGATCGATCTCCTCTGTTGTGAGAGCTCTGAAAACACGGTCTTCTTTTCTCACAACACCAACCTCGATCTCAGTGGCCTTGAAATCTTCCTGGAGAACTGATTGCAATGCAGATATTGCAATCTGAAAACATTAGGCAGAAGTTAGTAAATACCTCAACTTCTACATACTCCATTTCAAATTATAAGATGTTTTGACTTTTCTTGATACATTGCTTTTAGTGTATAGTTTAACTATGTATCTAGAAAAGTCAAAACATCTTATAATTTGGAATGGAGGGGGAATTTAGTAATTGATGAGAAGTGAATGTAGCTGCAGAAACTATGGCACGGCTACATTACTCTGACCATATTGAGAAAACATATAAGCTTTTTCGATTACTAGCTTGGCGCAGCAGTATAATTTCGAGAGCAATTAGAGCTTTGTGCCTGTTTGAAGCAAAAGCCATGCAACATTTACCTGAACAGTTTCGTCATAGGTGAATTTCAGATCATCCTTCATTTTCTTCTCCAGAAAATTTATTGCTTCCTGCTCCTTGAGCCCGGCACTAGTTGCCTGAAATAAAATATCAGTAAATTATTTAATTCTTAACAAATAGGAGTATTCAGCAGAGACAGACAAGCTAGACATTCAGCAGAAATTCATCAAGGAGAAAGGTGGCATCTGGAGCATAACAAAATAGGCATATACCTTATGTCCAAAGAAGTGACCAGCAGGGTCGCATTTGAATAGTTGGGCATTTTTCTCTTCGTCGTAGCCCAAGACCATAGCAACTGAAGAATGCCAGCAAAGAAGATGAAAATGATGGCAATAAGCCATAAGCTAACTTAATGCTAGAACATCATAGTAGAATGACAGAAGCTTAATGGAATAGCAAACACGTATTGTGTGATGATACTAACCTACTCCAAGGGGTCTCATGTATGCATGCTGCGTGTAAACTTGAGCTTTGTCAGCAATCCTGAAACATAAATAAGATATGTAATGTATATATATGCTTGTTACTACTTAGTATGCACAAAGCACCATTAACAAATTGGGAGCCTGAACAACAAAATGCTCAATACCATTTTGCTAACACATCAACTGGCATCTCGTAGCCCCATTTGAAACGAAACTCAGCTGCTTCGTTCCTTGCTTGGGAAACCAATGACCTTGCATCAGCTGTGAATAATATAACAACATATCCATTACTGGTAAAGATCAAGATGTATTATTGCATAATTAAATAGTGCAATATGTGAAAGCAAGGTGGTAACCAGTGCCCAACGTGAATTATTGGGCATCCTCAAGGGTAAATACACAGTAACAGACCAATTGAGATTTCAAGGAAGGGCGCTACTTATTGTCATATCCCTTGGGGAAGAATAAACAAAAGTGGCATGACATCCGTTGTTATTAGCACGTGACTGAATATCCGTTGTTATTAGCACGTGACTGAATATTACGAAATCATAACACAAACTCTTGTCCAAAATCTGAAACTAGCAGTATCCTATTATGAAACTGAAAAGCCTTGAACTCCTTTGTTAAAAGTTCAACGTATGACGATTCATGTTGAATGAAGCTCTATATACTTGAGATTTTGACAATAAGCCACCAGAGATACAGCTTAATTCAATCAAACAAAAATCAATGATGGGCAAAACTTCCACTATAAATCCCAACTTATGTTGTCCTATTCTATTTAGTGCCAGCAATATGATTAGTCAATTTCCACTGATCTATCACAAAATTGATATCGAACCCACAATTCAACAAAACAGGGCCAAGTTTTCATAGCCTACGGCATCTACAACAAGCTCCATACCATAATATTACTACTGACTAAATAATGATGTGCACCAAAGCAAAATAACACAATACCTGTAAGGCCAGTGGCAAGCAATCCGACAAACTTGGTGATCGGGAACAGGTGTGTCACGCTCGTCTGATCCAGCAATTTATCCTGCACGCACAACACGTCAAGGTCAAAAAAGGGCGTACCCAGTGCAGAGAGCTCCCGCTCTGTGCGGGGTCTTGGGAAGGGTGTCAGTGGCAAGCCTTACCCTCGCTTGTGCAATGCGAGGAGACCGCGACTCGAACCAAGAACCAAGGTCAGGCCACACAAAACAGCCATCCAACCAATAACACACAGAAAGCTACAATCTTTTTCAGTGCAGCACCCCGCATCGGGGTCAGTCGCGCCGCCCCGATAGATGGAGGCGAGCGTCCGCGAGCAACTCACCGGCACTTTCTTCTGGGTGACGACGCAGACGGAGTCCGCGCCGCGGACGCCGATCGACGTGACACCCGCCGACTTCACCGCCTTGAACGCGTACTCTGCGCACACGGAACGGCACAGGTCAGATGGACTACAAGTCTTCCCCAGATCTAAGGAGCGACGAGGAGGAGGAGGGAAATAAAAGGCTAGGGTTTTGGGGGGAGGCACTCACCCACTTGGTACAGGCGTCCCTCGGGGGAGAAGATGGTGATGTGGCGGTCGTAGCCCGCGCCCGTTCCGCGGCTCATCTCGCCGGCCGCCGGAAGATCTCGCCGGAGCTGGGCGTGGTGCGCGAGCAAGGCTTGTGTGTGCTGTGCGCTTCGGGGACCTCGGGCACACGAATATACACGCCGCCGCGACTTCCTCTTCTTATTCCGCAAGAAGAAGAGAAGATAGCCCGTTCGGGCCCGGGCCCGGGCCCGACTATTTCTCTTCGATGGGGATCCGGGTCCGACCCGGGTTTTGACAGCGTGGGGGCCATCACACGAGCCCGCTCGATTCGGAATTGGGCCGTCAACCGATGGAGCACCAGCGAGCCCACAGGTGCCCACAGATGCACAAGTTTCGTATTTTGTTTTTTATTTTTATTTTTATATGCTAATCAGCACCAACTCTATTTGCACTTCACTTTTTTTTTGCGAGATCCAGTTACAAACGCAACGCTCACGTACACGACCCCTATGTTATGCGAGGACTGAAATTTGTCGGTGCCTGTTGAGGCATTGCATCGTTTGTTTCTAATCGGTATTTATATACTAGCAAGAACTTGGCAATTTTATACTTCAATTCAGCCACCACAATCAATGTGCAATGGCAGAATGAATCTACAACTCTCCCAGCTTGAGAGTGAGCCATGCTGACCTCACCTCCCTGCTTACTTTCCTACGACGATGATCTGGACAGGAGGAGGACACACTTGTGGAGAGAGAGACCTCTAGTGAGTCATCGGTAACACAAAACATGCCTGCACCGAGCATCAGAAACCTGTGGCCAGGTTTGTCACACGCCATTGTTCCAAAACGCATGCGGTCTATCTTTCTTTGTTCGACTCTCGGTGCATCTGTCCCTCCAGTTTATCTTATTTTTTGTGCTTTGGCTATACCACGCGTTTCCCCTAAAACGGGATAGATCTTCCTCGATGGCAACAAGTTTTTGCTTCCAGTGAAGGCAAAGTCGGGAATGTACGTGTGCTTATTTATGATCCTGTAAAAGTGCACCCTGTTTGCTGGACACAGCACTGGCCATGCATGAGCTTCTTCTGTTAAGGTGTACGCGGATACAGTCTTTAACCAGATTTTCTTGAGTTGTGACCACATGGCCAAAGTTTGTATTGTGTTGTGCCCCTATATATACACTTGCATCATCCATGCGACCATGCGCTAGCTATATATCAAGCCCATTCATTCACCTCACCAGTCACCACCTACATTTGTCCGAGCTTCTTACACAAGAGAAGAGAGCACCGGTGGCCATGGGGGTACGCTACGCAGGCGTTGTCTGTTTCATCTGAACTAGCTATGCATGGCTGAATGGCACTGTGGGTGTTTAATTCTTGCTGCTATGGCGGACGCAGGTTCTCAACTGGATGCAGACCAAGCTTCATGGATCGCATCGCAACAGAAGGAGATCTGCAGAATTCAGCGCAGGCATGGCTCGGCGTAAGTGACGGGCTGAAAGCCGAAAGCCTGGAACGGCATTCTTTCATGTGTCTGTATAGCTGAAACTCACACTTGCATTCCCCGTGTTGCAGCTGCTGACGCCTCCGGTGGACTTCCTCAGACAGACAAGCTCAACGACGGCTGGACCACGGCGATGATGTTGATCGGGACGTTCGGGACGAGGGGAGAAGGGAACAGAGTGAAGGGGTGTGGGCGTCTGGACGAGCTCAGCAAGCTGCAGGAGGAGCTGAAATCGCTCGCCGGAGCCAGAAGAGCCGCCACAGCCGGTGGACTGGACAGGGTAAACCACCTGCAGCTCGAGCGGCTCCTGAGCTGTTCTTCCACCTCCAGGAATGGAGGCATTGGTAGGCCAAGATCGTTCAGGGCACTTGCAACAAGACCTTCGGAGGTTTCCGGCCCAGGCCAAGCTTCAGAGAAACTGTACCCGAAATGAGATTTGACGAGGTGCTATAGAGTTCAGGTTGCATTCAGATTTCAGAAGCGAATTGGTTCAGAATTCAGGTTGCATTCAGATTTCATGTTTCGCTTGTATTTGAAGCGAATCATGGTTCAAAGATTCGTTTAAGTAATTTACAACCAAACTGTGTAATTAGTTAATTTTAATGCAGGATGGAGAGAGAGTGAAAAAACTTGAATTTTGAGGCAATCTAAACCAGGCCTTACTCACGCATGCCTTTCCTGCTTGACAGATTGTCTGGGGTTTGCTGCTCAAGAAGGTGCACCCTGAAAACCCAGCATTCTCTGATACTGCAACAAGGGATGATCAGGTGGTCCAGATGGCTCCGAAAGGCAAGGTAGAGGCCGAGGACGAAGGGGGCAAATGGATCAGAACAGATTCACAGTGTAAGTTCATTTCTGGTACAAGAGTATATTTGTAGCAGTGTGTGCATCTGCAAGTAAACATAAGATATGACCATGTATCTGACATCCTTTTAATTCTACAGACATCGTGTTAGAGATCTGAACTTCCAGGATGGAAGCAAAAAGGAGACAACTGATTCCTTGTACAATTTTGTTTGGTATACACGCCTCTCTGAATATGATCTTATCAGATGGCCTTCAACACCAGGGAAAACAATATGGTTTTCTATGTTTCCTTTGTTATGTGACAGATATAGACCAGATTATCAAACAAAGTGCTGGCCTACAGTAGTATACATCCTGAAACAACTTATACATGTGTTCAGCAGAGTATGTTTCCCTAGCTTCATGAGCGTGTTCGGCTCGGCTCGGCTCGGCTTGTTTCAGCTTATTCTCTCTCACAGAACACTATTGAATCAGCCAAAACCAGCCGGAACAAACTAATACACAGTATTTTTATCTACCAGCTGAACGGGCCGCATATCTATAAATTTGCCCAAGTTTTGCTGAAGTGGCGCACATCAGCACATGGCATCAACTAGCAACTGATTTTGGCAGCGGCTGGTGAAAGCAATCCGTACCCTTTAATGTACATCTGGTCTCTAGCACACCTGTCTCTGATTCTCTGGAATAGAACAATTCTATCCGATATATGTTAGCATACATCTCATCATCTCATCCAATGACCTGCAAATTTGGACATGAAAAAAAGGTAAAGCCTAAGATGATGAGTGTAACCACAATTTTAGTAAGCAATGTTTGATCACTTTGCCCTCCTCAGGCTAGCTGGACCCTGCTGTGTTGTTTGTACAGTTTTTAACTTCTTGTACAGCTCTCTGTCCTTTTTTATTTAATACAAAAAATTTACAGTGGGGGACTCCCCTGCTGTTTTCCCAGTTCAAAAAAAAAAAATGTTTGATCACTTGCCTGGTTCACCAAAGGTAGTGCATTGGTTTCCCATTCTGTTGACCATTTCGAAGATGATGCTGACTTCATGGCACCTTCTTTGAGGGATTTCAAGGCATTGCATTCTTCTGGAAACCCCTTAAAGAGCATCTGCATTGTTTAGCAAATAGCAACTGTAAACATTAGCATCGGTTTTGATGATAAATATTAAGTCACGACGCAATCGTGCTCTTCCTTTTATTTTAGAGAAAAAAAAGGAAGTTGTCATATGTGCATATTCCAAATATGTCAAAACAATCGTTCAGTGAAATGACATGGAAACTAATATACTCAAGTGATCCAGACCATAAGTTCATCAGCAAGCTCCGAAGATGTTGAGAAAAGAAGACCATTTTTGTTTACTTTTACAAGCTCCTCAATGCTGCAGCAAGCTTAATGCTTCAGTGAAAACTAGCCGAAGCAAAATATTGGAGAAAAAAAAAAGTAAGAAATTGGGCTACCAGGAGAATGAAGCAGCACAAACAGGCAATCCACATCCAAACATATCAACCACCTAAAACCATTCAGGTTATAATCAAGCTAATAAAAATCCTGCAACCTTTAATTAAAACAAGTATATGAGTAACCTTCATTGGTAGGTCCAGCCCTGATGAAGATGTATGCAATGACACTCCTAGATCAGCTGACCCTGCAATGTTTTTTAAAAAAAAAAAAAAAAAAACAGTCTTCATGCTTAGAAAACCATCAAGTTGGGATAGGTTTTTTGCTACAAGTGTGCATGCATGCGTAAAATCAGCTGGCATACCGAGCAATAGAGGGTAGTCCTCTGATGCAAGCCACATCGTCCGCAAGGCAACACGTCTCAACTTCAACCTTTTTATCTGATCCTCATATTTCTTCCTATCAGGTCCTTTACCTAAAAAATTTGGAATAGATGAAAAACTAAAGAATGCTTAAACTTTGGTTATTCAAGTTAATATAGCAGAATGGATTATACCTGTAATAATGAACAGTAATCTTGGGTAGACAAATTGCTTTCCGTTCTTGATATCAATCCAAAGTTGTCCCTCATCCATTGAATCATCTTCACCTAAAGCTGCAGCGACGCGTCTGTCATACATAAGTGCTGCTTCCAGAAGTATGCTGAAATCTTCATCCGGCGTCCTAGAAATATATTCGGTAAAGATTTATATCTTTTCTCATATTTGAACAATCCACTCAATAATCACATGCAATGAACATAAAGAAGGCTCTAGGCTATAGCAATGACTGCATGGACGCACGGTTCAAGAGAACAGACCAGCTTGTGCTGCTCACAACAAGTGCGGGTCTGTTAGGCTTCAAGTAAACTTCACCATCAATCTTACTGGTAAAGACAGTAGTGTTCATGTCTTCCACTACTTCCTCTGCAATGTATGATCAGGCAACAAGAAATAAATTGAAGTGAAATAAGCACAAAACATCAAAATGCTCTGGTTAATTGAAGAAAAAACATACCCACTGATATGCAATCAGCATTGCCCATAGCACTACAGATGGAATTCCCTAGCCTGCTAAACAACTATTACGTGTCTTCAGGTCACATGTGGTACTGGAAGGAGGAAAGAAAAACTCAAAATAGATGCTCACCCCATGTTTCTCCATCAAGGAAGCAGGGTGGAAAAAATCAGGAGATTGATCATAAAGAACTGTCGCCCTGGAATTGCAGACTAGAGAATGTGAATACCAGTCCTTCATATATATGGAGAAAACTATGTTTAAGTTTGATCAGTCTACCTGATTCCCCAATTTTGAGCAAGCTCATGCTGCATTGCTTTTGTAACACAAAAGGCACCATCAGCCATCTGCCCAAAGTGCTTCTCAAACCTATAGAATGCAGAACATGTTACTATATTAACAGATATTTTCAAGTAAAGGAACAAATTTCTGGAACACCAAGTTATATATGGTATGTTAATCTTAACAGAAGATAAACGATCAGGGTAAGATGGATTACCAGAAATATATTTTGACTATAATGTGACTTCTGCCATGCGACAACCCCAGCAATGTATATCCAAAGTTATGCCAATCCACAATAAATTTAGCACCTCTCAACCAGCTTGCCAGTTTTACAGCAGCCAGTGTTGGAACAGAAGGTGGATTCTATTGGAAAAAAAGATAAACAAAAAACTGAAATTAGGTCTCCTATTACATCAAAAAGCATGTTGTTGAAAATTTCGAGGACATGTCAAACAAAAAGGTACTTCTGTAAGCATCAAACAAAAGGGACGCTAGGTGACTGTAATCAAAACACCCAAGGTACAAAACTACAATATAATCCACTAAAAGAGGAGACTGGAGCATATTCTGCAACTAAGGATGTACAAGTCAGATTAGACAGCTTCACAAATGTGCTATACAAAGACTGGTTAGAAAGAAAAGGTGACAGAAAGGCACCATATCCACTGCATAGCATGATCTCCAGCTTAAGCCAGGCACAAAGATAAAATGCTAACACTAGCCAGTTTACTCATGACATCTGAACTGATAGTGGTTGTGTGTAGTGTTCATGAAACTCTGAATACACATAATAAGGAACTTGACACTAACCTGGACAACAAAGACATCAGGGCGAGGAATCTTAAAACAAAGGAACCAAACCAGCAAAATGAACTGGACAGCAGCTTTAAGTAGAAGTGCCAGGGCACCAGATATCTTTGAAATTCCAGTTAACTGCACTGTTTTCTGAAGAGAGAATTTTCTAGTTAACAGTGACAAAAAAAGACAATACAAAACAACAGAATAGTTTCCAACATCAATACCATCTCGTGGATGTGAATTGACGGGTTCTCTCTCAGTGACAAGTGAGGATCACTTCCTGTTCATTTACACAATGTGATATCTCCACAAGAAAAAGGAACAACAGAAGCTGACATAACTTTATATTGCACAATACAAACTAAGCTGTGTATAACTGAGGTATAAATAGATCCCCACTGAAAGAGTAGATTCATGAAAGTGAAATAAATGAAATTGCGAAGAACCCAATACCTCCATTTGCAACAATGTCCACTTCCATGCTGGCCTGTGAAGACGATGAACAAAGGATCAACAATATAGAAGGAAAAACATACACTATCACACTAAAATTGCACTGCTTGGTGTTCTGAACATCGGATAGGTAACTGTAAGGACTATTCCTTCCTTCACGTCACTCCAAAATCTTTCCATGGCCAATAGATAATTTTTTGCTACTGCGGAAGCAATCAACTGCGCGCAGCAAGCTGGAGAGACGGCTCCAGTGCAGCCCTGCTCAATTTAACCGAAACACTGCTAAAACGAGATGGTGGATTTTGGAGGAGCGGACCTGGTTAGCGAGCGAGAGGGAGTGGTACTGCATCCGCGGGCTGCGGCCGATGTCGCCCAGTACCACGACTGCCGCGCGCTTCCTCCTCTCCGTCGCCTCCGCCATCGCCGTCGCCGTCAGCCTACGGACAGGGATGGAACCGGTAAAGGACATGGGTGTACACATGCACAGCCGATTAAGTTAGGTTTTGGGTGCTCGGTTTAGCACATCAGGAAGAGAAGGGAAATGGTGCGAGCGGGAAAACCTGGCGGACGCTCGTCGTGGGCGAAGGGTCCAACGAAGACCTCCGGCTCCTGACACAGGGCGGCGGCGGCGGCGGCGGCGTAGCCCAGTCGTCGCAGGCAGAGAGAGAGAGAGAGAGAGAGAGTGCCCTCGGCTGCAGCGGTAGCCCAATCCAGGGTTGTTCGGCCCAAAGGCCCCTGGGCTGTTCTTTATACCCATTTATTTTGCTGTGTCCTTTTTTCTTGTTTTTTTTTTTTTGATTCTTTCTGATTTCTTATTTATCCTCTCCATGGGGCACTGCCAATAAATAAGTGGAAAAATAATAATATTCACTAGGGCATTGAAAATAAGCAAAGGGGATATTTTTAATATCATGTTAAGGTGGAACATTTCTTAGTGTAGCTAGAAACATTTTTTAGTTGAATCTGGAACACTTATTTGAACTTGGAATGTTTTTCTCGTGAATCTATAATGCTTTTCACCTGAATTAGAAATGATATCCTTAACATGTGACAATGCTTTTCACCTGAATTAGAAATGATATCCTTAACATGTGACATTTTATAAGTGAACTCATAACATTTCTGTCCTAAGGGACGTGGGGTGGGTGGCCGGGGTGGGGCTCAAGCCCCCCCCCCCTACTGCTGTTGTGTCCATGGAGCCCCCTGAGCCTCTCCTAAAAGTTTCAGCCATAGAAGCTTTGTTGATCTAGCTCTCTATTCAGTCCATTCCCTCCTAAACATTTTCCTAGATTCGTCACTGGTCGTAAGGATGGAACAATTGTTCTATGGAACCAGGAATATCGTTCCGCTCCGTAAAAAATATGGATTCGTTAAAAATATACTCTAGGTAATCTATCGAGGACTAGTGAAAAGCACGGCACTTTTACATCTCGTGAAAAAAACTGAGTGTTCCTAACTCTCTCTCCTCGCATTCCCTATTTACTTCATAGAATAGTCACACTTTATCAACCTTAAGCACATGGGTGAAATTCAGGTAAGTGACATGTTTATATTAAAAAAAGTTTGTAAAAACCCGATTCAAACTACCCTTGTCTTGACCACTTATCCTTTCAAAGAGAGTGGTTAATGAGAATAAGAAGAAAATAGAGGTATATAGTAGCATTAAACCTATAGAAATGCTCAAGCTGAAGACAAAGGTATATGAGTTAAAAGAGCAAACCTGATCATGAGAGCAAGAGCAAATGAAGGTCTGGCATGGCAGGATAGCAGTATACACGATCTGACCAACAAATTAAAGACAAGTATGCATTTACAAGGATCGATGAAAATAACAATGCATAATTGTAATTGGGGAGCGAGGGATGTTACCCGTGTCACATGTGAGTATGTGACTATGAGTCCCGTGAGGCACAAGTATTTTTTCCTATATGTAAAAATATATTATCCGCTTACCCCTTTGCGGTAAAACATATCTTGGCTAGAAACAACTTAATGATCTAGCAGAAGGAAAAAAGGAAAGAAAATTTGTTCAGGGTGCAATAATGGGTTTCCTACTAGTTTGTAAAGAACATGACACAATTGCCATATTTTTTTTGTCGTGTTCTTTAGTGTTCTGGTGATTGAGAAGAAAAAATAGACAATATGACTTATATGTGTATTTAAGTGTGTTAGACATGTTTATATATGTGTCGGTGCAAAAAGTGACCAACACGTAAATATTTGTAGTTTTGACGTACGTTGTGATCGGATGTGGCCTAGCACTCAATGACACAGGGTTTATACTGGTTCAGGCAACGTGCCCTACGTCCAGTTTGGGTCGGTCGGTGACTTTATTCCTGAGCCCAGGTGCTCGAAATTTGTAGTGGGGTTACAAACGAGAAGGAAAAAGATGGGGGTACAAGAGGTCCGATCGGACTCTGGTCTGAAGGGCCGAGAGTGACGGGAGCTCCGCTATGTGCTAAATGTTCGAGCGTGTGCTCAAGGTTTGAACCTGGTGGTTCTATTGTTGTGTGTGAGTGAACTGATCGATCTCTCTCTTTGGAAGAGAGCGCATCCTCTTTTATAGATGAAGGGGATTGCCTTACAAGTGAGAGAGGGAGAGTGTACGTATGCTAAGTCTTGTTGCCCACGTCGTCGAGTACAAGATGATTGTAGGCGTCCATAACACTGTTAATGTCAGATGCACGTGGGAGGTTGCGTCTTCTTCTTCTGGTATGGCAGACGTCGGTGCCTGCCATACTGCTGATGCCCAGAGACATGTAGGGGGTTTTACCATGTTTGTATGATATGGTAAATACCGGGGCCCACAACACTGTTGATGCCTAAAGGCATGTGGAGGGAGCCTTACCGTGTTTGTTTGGTATGGGAGTTGATGGCGCCCACAACACTATAGGGCAAATGTCGACGCCAACAACACTGCTTGGGTTCTGACATGCTAGGAAGGTTGCAAGGTACCCTTCTGACATGCCCTGTTGGTACTGTCCCGCAGATGTACAGGGTACGGTCCTCGGTATTGCGTTGACTTGAGTGCCCTACCTTACTTTCACCGTCCGTTTCCTGGTCCTCACCGAGCGGGCGCCCCCGGTCGGTTGGTCCTAGTCGGCTCCGACTGTGTTAGTCGGAGAAGAGCTATAAGCAGAGGTTCGATGCATCCCTGGTCGGAGAGGCCGTCCGGAGGCGGGCCGGAGCCGGAAGCGAGCGTTGTTCCTCCTTAGTGAGGCCTTTCTGTCGGAGAGGCGGGCCAAAGTCGGAGGTGGGCGTCGTTCCTCCTCGGTCAGACCTTCCGATCGGAGATTGGATCTCCCTTCTGGCCTATTGTTTTAGGTATTTGGGCCGGCCCAGGAGTTACGCGTCGTTCGCAACATTGTTGTCTATTGGGATGAGCTTTTGTTGGGAAGCCGGTCCATGAGGGACCCCGGATTTATGAACCCAACAGGAGCCCTCGAGCCCCCGGGCGATTCGGATAGGATCATCTAGGGGATTTTTGTCTGGACGGCGGGTGCGCCCGAGCGCACCCGCGGGTGTATCCCCTAGGCGTTTCAGGTTGAATCGTCTGGTGTTTTTTGTCAGCGGGCATTTTTAGGGATTGGGCGAGATGGAGCTCGCGGATCCTGGCGTCGGGCGCAGCCGAGGTAGTTTTTAGGGATCAGGCGAGACGGAGCTCGTGGATCTTGGCATCGGGCGCAGCCGAGGCAGTTTTAGGGATCGGGCGAGATGGAGCTTGCGGATCCTAGAGTCGGGCGTAGCTAAGGCAGTTTGGGGATCGGGCGAGAATGAGCTCGTGGATCCTGGCGTCAGGCGCAGCCGAGGCTGTTTTAGGGATCGGTCGAGACGGAGCTTGTGGATCCTAGCGTCGAGCGCAGCCGAGGCAGTTTAGGGATCGGGCGAGACGGAGCTCTCAGATCCTGGCGTCGGGTGCAGCCGAGGCAGTTTGGGGATCGGGTGAGACAGAGCTCGCGGATTCTAGCATCGGGCGTAGCCGAGGCAGTTTTAGGGATCGGTCGAGATGGAGCTCGCTGATCCTGGCGTCGGACGTAGCCGAGGCAGTTTAGGGATCGAGCGAGATGGAGCTCGCGGATCCTAGCGTCGGGCGTAGCCGAGGCAGTTTTAGGGATCAGGCGAGATGGAGCTCACGGGTCCTGGCATCGGGCGCAGCCGAGGCAGTTTGGGGATCGATCGAGATGGAGCTCGTGGATCCTGACATCGGGTGCAGCCGAGGTAGTTTTAGGGATCAGGCGAGATGGAGCTCGTGGATCCTAGCATTGGGCGCAGCCGAGGAAGTTTAGGGATCGAGCGAGATGGAGCTCACGGATTCTGGCGTCGGGCGTAGCCGAGGTAGTTTTAGGGATCGGACGAGACGGAGCTCGCGGATCCTGGCATCGGGCACAGCCGAGGCAGTTTAGGGATCGGGCGAGACGGAGTCGTAGATCTAGGTGCAGCCAAGGCATTTGGGTATCTTGAGCCCCTGAGCCCCGTTGGGCTTGGTAGTGGTCAGTTGAGTTTTGTGCGTTACCCTATCCGTGGTTTCTCGCAACCGGAGGGGCTGAGCTAACGTCGCTTGCCTCGATGGCTCGAGTGACACGCGCTCGGTGAGCTCGCTAACGAGCATGTTTGAGTGAAGTCTGGCTCCATCATTCATGACAGGGTCGGCATAGCCCTCATGTGGCACTCCACTGCTCCTTAACCTGCAACACGGCAGATGCCTGGGCCTCCCCTCGATGGAGATTCTATGGGTTTGGTCGAGGTTAGGATCGAACGAGAAGATTGAGATGACCCTATCTGCTTTGGGGCAGACTAGGCAAGGACCGCTCGAGGCTCATCTGCATTTTCTCCCCTGGCTCTATTTGACGCGAGGCGGCTTCGAGCCCTTCGTGGGCCGGCCTTCGAACCTCGGTTGGTCGTTACTCATGTTGAATGAGGCAACTGCCACTTCGTGACGTAACACGGAGCGTTGTGATGCATTTCACTACACATGCGATGCCTCGGATGTATGGAATGAATGAATGTGTGTATAGATGAATGAATGATTATATAAAGAAATTGTGGGGGTTGGTAATGTTACCCTGATGACTCGAGTGACGGGGTTTGAGGAGCTCCAATCGGAAATGTCCGACCAGGATCCGCGCTCGTCGTCCGTGAATAGGATTGGCACCTGGGCGGAGATCCCATAGTTGGGCCTTTCCATGTCCCGCCTAGGAAGGCGGAGGGCCGCCTGCGCGTGGTGGCGCTTTGGTTCTCGTGCCCAGCATGCGGTAGTGGTGGGCCATACCTAGGCCACGTCCTGTCTGACTAGGCGTCGTCCCGTCGTTTCCCATCCGCATTGAATGGGGGAAGGGAGAGGGTTTTGCACCCTAATCCTTTGCCCTTCTTCACCTACTGCATCTCCTCCTTAAATAGGGGAAGGGAGAGGGAAAGGAGAAC